AACATTGCAATTCAGCAACAAGTTTACTGACTTTTATTTGCACCATGTCAACCGAAAGAACCAAAAGATACGGTGGGGGTTGCGGGAGGGGGAGAATCCGGTTAAAAGGCAACTTTAGACAGACTTTGAATACTTTATGCGGCAAGCTTCGCCTCCAATTGAATCTGGGCTAAAAGAAAAAAAAATATCCAGCCCCTACACTGGAATTTTTAACGAGCACAAAACGTGTTTGAATCCAATCTGGGCTGACGCTCACGATTAACAATACGAATACCAAATCGAGCTCCTGTCATCTGCCCGGATTCCCATAGAACCTGAATACTATTCAAAAGCTGCTTTAATATCCCACCCGCATGTCGTCTGCACCGCACAGCTGGTTGGGGGCCGCCGGCCCGTCCGCAGCCGCTCGGCCCCGCCAGCCGGCACGGCCCGCCCGCAGCACCGGGCACCGGGCACCGGCACCGGCACCGGCAGGGACGCGGCGGGGCGGCGGCTGCGGGCGGCGTCACGGGGGAGAGATGGATGTGATGGGAAGGAACAGAACAGAGGAATGGGTGATAGCGGGAAGGGGGTTTGAGAAAGAGCGGCTGAAATTAGCGAAGGTGAGCGAGATCAAGGAAAAGACACGGGGAAGTTGCAAAAACAGAAAGGCGGGGAGGGGTGGCAGGCAGGGAAGGGAAGGTTTGGGGAAAGGAGAGGAGAGGAGAGGAGAGGAGAGGAGAGGAGAGGAGGAGGAGAGGAGAGGAGAGGAGGGGAGGAGGAGGAGAGGAGAGGAGGAGGGAGAGGAGAGGAGAGGGAGGGAGGAGGAGAGGAGGAGAGGAGAGGAGAGGGAGGAGGGGAGGAGGAGGGGAGGAGGGGAGGAGGAGGGGAGGGAGAGGGAGGGAGGAGAGGAGGAGGGGAGAGGAGGAGGAGGGGAGGGGGGAGAGGGAGAGGAGAGGGGAGGAGGGAGGAGGGAGAGAGGGAGGAGAGGAGAGAGGAGAGGAGGGAGAGGAGGAGGAGAGGAGAGGAGAGAGGAGGAGGGGAGGAGAGGAGGAGGAGGGAGAGAGGAGGAGAGGAGGAGGGGAGGAGAGAGGAGAGGAGAGGAGGAGAGAGGAGAGGAGAGGAGAGGAGAGGAGAGGAGAGGAGAGGAGTAAAAAAGATAAAAGAAAGAGAAAAACCGTTCAGACAGTACTGGTCTCTTCGATTTAAAGTGGATTTCCGTGTTACAGAGCCTCAGTAAGCCTCTCCCCTGCCCTCTGTCCGGTGCCTTGCATCCCCATCACCTTGCCGCGGAGCCCTGGGGCCGGCTCGAACAGGGACGGGAGCCTCAGGGCCAGCTCGGACAGGGACGGGAGTCCCCGGCCGTCCCGTCCTGCAGCCCGGAGAAGGGAAGCCCTGTCGGGGCAAAGCCATTTGGGAAAAAGGTCACCCCGGGAGCCGCCGGCTGGGCCGCCCCGCCGGAGTATGGCCTGCTGAATGAACTTGCAGCATTTTGTTTCAGCCTCCGCTGCGGTGCTCTGCGGCATAATGAGCCGAGCCCTGTATACAGGCATTCATGCTGGTCTGAATGTGGTGTTGAACCTTCTCTGTGCCGGAGCGGTTTGATGGTTTGAATGGAGCTCCCTGGTGGGACATTGCTCTCTGCAACTGTGCCTCTTTGGATGACTGTTGTTCCTTAACATTCATGCCTCATTATGGGGCAACCTGTTAAATCAGGGAGAACAGTGTGCCAAAGTGTTACTCAGGGGCACCGGCAGTTCAGCGGTGGGCATAAATAAGGGCCGCCGAGGAAAATAACTTTCATCGCATCTCTGGGCAAAAGGGATCTCTCTTTAATGGTGCCTCTAGTAGTCCGGTTTAAGTATATAAAGAGCGATAGTGGAATGTTTTGATTGAGTCTAAACATTGTCTTTGAATAAAGCTGAAACCATGTAATTAATGTGTCTTTTTAATAAGGGACAATACGGTCGTTCAAGCTATTTAATTTCATTTAATTTTCCATCCCATTTGCTCCAAAGGCTGCTTTTACTTTTAACACCCGGCCTTTCATGCTGCATCTTGCTCCAGTGGGCACATTAGATCGGTTTCACCCTTCCTTTTTAGGGAAGGAAAAATAAAAGAAAATGTGGTTCCTTTCCTCTTTTGTGGACAATTTATTTCACTTGGGGAACTTCAACTTTGAGCCACAGGACAGAATAAAAATTGGAGAACTGGTGTGAATGCTTCCAGAGCAAGGGCTTTTCTTTTCTGAGTGGATGGGAACCAGCCACAATCGGCTATATTAATAAATAACTTTCCTCACAGTCGGCCTTTACATGGTCCTATTGATAAAATTGTTCGCGTGTCGTTCACGCTTTTTGACTCATTAAGTCCTGGGAGGGAGCGGCTCCCGAGGCGGAGCAGTAGGGTACCTTGGTCGCCTTAAAAGCCCTCTCTCTACCTCTGCGGCTCTCGGAATTTCAAGCCGATCTCATCCTCTAGTGACCAGGCCAGAGGTTACAGGGACATGTTCATGGCTTAAATTTATTGCCCTCAACTTCTTGCTTATCCTTTTTTCCCCATTCAGGCCGCTGATCAAAGAGGTCATCTTCAGTTCCCCACATCCTCTCCCCCCTCCTCTTCCCATCCCTGCCGAAGTGAAAACCAACTCCCGGGACGGTCCCTGGCGTTGCACCCTGGAGAGATGCGGTCGATGGCCACTGATGCTGCTGGGGAATGGGGCCGGGGGGGGCGGGAGCGACATTTATCTCGCGTGCGCCCCAATATGGATCACTACTAAAAATACATTCACAGCCTGCGTGGACTCAGTGCCGACCAGGAGCCCCCGGCGCGGGCGGCGGCAGCGCCCTGTCCCGTCCTCCTCCCTTCCCGGTGCCGCCCGGCCGGGAGAGCCCCTCGCTCCCCGCCCAGCGCAGGCGGGCAGAGCCGCGGGCGGGCCGGGAGGTGAGAGATCCCTGCGCTCCTGCCGCTCTCCACACAGGCGCTGACATCTCAGGGCTCGCCCTGGCCGGGGGAGCAGCCACTGGTGACCCGGGCGGGCTGGCAGTGCTTTGCCGCGGAGGGGCCGGCGTGGGCAAATGTCATCGCAGCAGCGGTGACGACTTGCCAAGCTGAGTTTTACGTGCTTCCTGGCGCGGTGCAAGGCAGGGAGAGGGGAAAGAAGACCTTTGCGAGCGCCAGCCGGTGAGAGGTGCCGGTTCAAAATCGTCCTCGTGCCCCGTGCGCATCCCCGCGGCCTTTGCTCCCACGGTACCACTCGTGATGGCGGCAAACAAATCCAGAGTAGAACCCCCACCCCACCCCACGATCATATCGAAAGCGGTGTGCCAAGGTTCATCTTGCAGAAAGCGGATTTACTTGAAAAGACCCTGCTCAGTTACCTGGCGTCTGCCGTCAGCTGCATCTCTAAACGTAGATTTTTGGCTTTTCTGTTGAAATTTATTAGGGCTGACTATTAGAAAAACGCCAGGGGAAAAAAAAAAAGGAAAGAAAAAAAAAAGGAAAAAAAGCTCCATATCTGCAATTGTTTCTGAAAACACTAAAGCCTAAAATCTGCATTTGCAACTTTGCAACTTCTCCACAGGAGAAAGGTTCAGAAATCTTCCTTTTTGGAGTGTTATGAGGTATGGAGCTAAGAAAACCTGCTAGCAGGAATTAGACAGGAGTATAAAAAAGAAAGTGGAAATTTGAATTTGTTACTGCACTCCTTGGTCCGACAGGTACATCTGAACTGTTGCACGCACGTAAGAAAAAAGTCACACACCTTTCCTTTTCAGCTTCTGAAAATGTTTGGGACATTTATCTAGCTGTCTTAATCCTAGCACTTCGTTGTATCTTAATTAAAATATTTATGCGAAGAGGAGGGACATAGGCGGACACTGATCGAAAAGCTTCGTTCTGGCTTTATTTAAAGTCGCTTTTTGCAGGTTCCACCTCCAAAAGCGGTCTCAGTGCAAGAGATTTTGCGTGTGGGCAAGGAACCTGCGGATGCATTAAACGAGGAATCCAGCTGCACGCTGTTTGCTAGACATCTGTGTTTTCTGCTGGCCATGCCTTCCTGTTTCCTGGTGGCTGTATGTCTCTATTTCCTCCTGTCTCTATTTCTTAATCGCACGAACTACAGACACAACTTCCCCAGCACTCGCAGGTGCAGCGGTTTCTGTTTTACAAGGGTTACGGCGTCTCATATTTTGTGCTATTCATCCTCCTTAAGGATCAAAGCTCTTCTGAACAGATTACTGGCCTGAAACCAAACCACTGAAATGGTAATATGGTAGTTCTTTTAAAAAAAGTGTAGGTATTTTCTGGTGTTTTCCCATCAAGTACCTGCCCAAATTCTGTATGGCACACGCCGGGAATCAATAGAAGTTAACAAGTCCTCAAAACATTCCCCATCTCTTTGTTTAATCTCCTTTACAATACAGCCAAGGGAAGAGAATTAAAAATCTTTGAAGTATATTAAACCTCAAAAGGCTCAGCCAAGTAGACTTAAAATAGTCACTTATTTTCCAAAACTGGTTTGTCGAGGAACAATAAAAGGAAGTAAAATTTATGGAGAAATTATACAGTGGATTTGTCACTTAAAATATCGTAACTGTCTCGGGGACAATACCCCATGCTGAGGATTAATGGTCCCTCCAGACCTTTGATTCACCAGCGCCTTTTCTTTGCCCTTGACAAATTGGATTTTTAGGAATGGGAAGGTCGCCTGGCCCATTGTCTGCCAGCTATTCACTCCGCCTGATTATGCAGGAGGGTTAGGGAAAGGCTCCATGTGACCCTCTTGGATGGGACTCCGCAGCTGCTCGAGGAGCCAAACTCTCTCACCAAACTCTGCGCCCCAGAGCATCCCCCTGCCAAGGGGTACCCCTCCTGCTCCCGTTGAAAAGCCAGCGTCCACACACCGCCGCGTCACTCTGCGGGCGGAGATACGCCTGTGCTCATCCTCCCGCCGCCTGCCGCTGTCACTCCGGCACCCTTAAGTAGTTGGGGTTCCCGAGCGCTCACACCCAGCGGCAGCGATGCAAACCAGCAGGGCTCCGGCCATCAGCGTCAGCGCGGAGAGCTGCATCCCGGCTGGGCTGCGCCTGGGTCCTGTGCCGGGCACCTTCAAACTGGGCAAGTACCTGTCAGACCGCAAGGAGCCAGGACCCAAAAAAAAGGTATTTTCCTGTGGCCTCTCCTGCACCGCTGGACCTTGATTATTCGTTGACTCGGGGGAAGCCGGCTTTGGGAGAAGAGGCTGCTCTTCCCCCGTCTCTCTTCGATCCTCCCTTCTTAGAGCGAGCCAGGAAAGGGAAGAGAAACGTTTCCAGAGCATCCTGAGATGTCTCCCCTTGGCTCTGCCAGGAAAGCCTGCCCACCCGTGCCCTCTCCCTCTCCTCCTCAGCACCGGGGTCCCCAGCGCGGCCGGCCTCCGCGGCGAGGCCAGGGGACACGGGAGCTCTCCCGCAGGAGCGGACGTGCCCGCCCCTGCCTTGGACACAGACGTGCTGGAAACGTCGCCTGAGCCCCGTGCCCGGTGCCAGAGGGCACTAGTCCCGCCGCCCGGCCCCCGCCCCTCGGGGCTCCGCTCACTGGGGCATTGCCGCTTCCCCAGTAGGGCGAGGACGTACTACGGCCGGCTCCTCGCCCCTGGAGCTCCGGCGAGACGGGGGCATGCGGCTTTCACAGCCCCCGTGTTTTGTCCGGGGAAGGAGCAGGGCGAGAGTCAGATGCACCGATTTATTTCTGCGTTTGGCTCGGGTTCGTGCCTCCCATCCCTCTCCTCGGCCGATTGTCCTTTGGCTTGGGCCGGAGAGGAGCTTGAGGGGAGCGGGCCGGGGCTGCTCCGGAGGCGGAGGCGGGGTGCAGGTTGCAGGTGTCAGGGCAGCTCGACCTCCTCCCAAAGCCTCGGACCAGCTCCTGCTTCTGGAGCTGCAAATAACCCGCACAGCCGGAGCGGGAGGGATAACGAGCAACCGGCTACCGGCTTCGCGGTCAGTCCATGTCCGAGCTGGGAAGGATCGAGGAGGAGGCGGTGAAGGGCTCTCGCCCCGTCCATCAGGCTCTTCGGGGGGCTGCGGATGAGACCCCTCCTTCCACCCCCCGGGCAGCCGCGGCTCACGCGTTCCGCTCTGATTTTTAATGCCCTTTAATTGTTTTTAAACGCTCTGCCAGCCCACTCAAATTTATTTCTCATCTGGCTTCCTTGGTTCCTCGCTTTAAACTGCTTTGTTCCGATGACTTTTATTGCACGGTCGTTCAGGGAATGGGCACTTCATTTTCTCTTTGTATAGGGAAGCAGATTATGAAGTATGGGGCTACAGGGACTTTGTAGCTAAGCAGAATCTTCTCCCCTTGCTCCCTCCCCGTTTCCCGGCAAGTCCTGTATGCCGCAATTGCTTTGCACGGACCCAGACTACACAAACTTTTTAAAAAAATATCTTCCATGAGCATTTAATATTGCTTTAAACGCAATGCAGAAGCTGCGACTGAACAAGGTGCGTTTGAACCAGTGCGATCCCAGGGGAAAAAAACATTTCCCCTCGCAATGGTGCAGGTCCCCACCGGGCCCCGAGTTTTCCATCCTTACCCCTCAGAGCAGCAACCCCCTCCAGGGGATCTGCAGCTCTCCCAAGGCACCTGAGAACCGAGGAAGATCCTACCCAAAGATGGGTGGTGATGGAAACATCAAACGGGCGGCAAAAGGAGATGCTCTCACCGTTGCTTGCAGCTGCGATGCTCAACTGCCTGCCCAGCTCGGGGAACCGGGCTAGCCGGGCAAGGCAGAGCGGGCAGACAAGCAGGGAGACGGGTAAGCCTTTTGCTTTCTTTGTGTTTCATCTGGCGTGAAAATGACAGCGGTGCCGCCTGTCTTTCAGGTGCGGATGGTGAGAGGGGAATTAGTGGATGAAGCTGGGAGCTCAGCTCTGGAGTGGATAGGGTTAATCCGGGCTGCCCGAAACTCCCAAGAGCAGACACTGGAGGCTGTTGCGGATCTGCCAGGAGGACAGGTACCCCACTCGCGACTCCGGGCTGGCCTGGCACCACTCTCTGCCACATGCCTCCCCTCTCAAGCCTCCTGAAGAAGTTTCCTTTCTCACCCTCCCAGATTTTCTATCGGGCGCTGAGAGATGTCCAGCCGGGAGAGGAGCTCACCGTCTGGTACTCCAACCCCCTGGCGCAGTGGTTTGACATCCCCGTCACGGCCACCCCGACGCACGACGAGAAAGGTACAGATGCGGGCATTCATTTCAGAGCAACCAAATTAAATGAAACAGAACAAACCCTCTTTAATTGATACCTTTGACGGGAACTCAAACTGCGGGAGGCAAATGTGGGCCCTCAGAAAAATAAATGCCAGTACAGCTGCAGTGACTTTTAACCCACCACCCTTTACAATATGACTCCATCTGCTTATATTTAAAGGGTGATCTATTAACTCAGTAACGTGTGGAAAGGTCCCCGTGCGTCGAGTCGTTCCGTCATCTGCACGATTTAATGATCTTTTGATAGGCAAATGGGATTTCGGTGAAATATCGGTATAGTTGTTATGCGAGACAGCAATTTGGCTTAATAGTTTTTAAAAACATCGGTTTTGCTTTCCGTGCTTCTCAGTCAGAGTTTCAGAGACTCTTTTCAGATTGTCTTGAGGGTAGATTCACACGGTCAAGTCAAAACGGGTACTGGGCAGTGTCTGTAAACTCGGATGCATTAGGTAAAAAGTTAAGTCGGCGTCAAATCACACTCAGATCAGAATATCCCAGGATATTGGGAAGGGGAAGACACTCATCTGGGACGGCCTGTTTCAATCCATAAACTGATTGTTAGCTGGAATTACACCGGTGTTAACAAAATGATAAGTTGGGAGCACATTAAACGAGGGAAAAAGAAGACGAAAGCCTTCAGTGTTCAACTGTCGGGCTTTTCCAGCGGCGGGCACCCCCTCCCGCTGATCCCGCCGTGTCCGGCCGTTCCCCAGGGCGTCTGTAGCGGTAGCGGCCTGCGGGCACTCGCTCCCCTCGGGCTCGGCGGGAGGCGAGGGAACCCCATCCTCTCCTGCTCGACGCAGAAGACCCTTCATCTTGGCAGTGTCCCCGGGAAGGGAGCGAGGGCACGATCCGGGCAGGGGCTGCCCCCTCCCCCTTTCACGGCTGGCCGCCCTGCAGGGTGACCGGGGTCTGGCCCGAAGGGATGGCTGAAAGAACGCCGGGCTCTGACTGCTATGTCCCATGGACTCGTGCGATGTGCAAGAGACCAAATCCCTCCTTGTACAGAAGCTATACCAGGAAAAGAAAAGCTTGGGCACGTCTCTGTGCCCCCATACCTAAGGACAATGAGGCCATGGGGCTGCGGCGGGTCACCCCCTCGAAAAGCTAGGAGAAATTTCGGTTGCAAGAAAAGACAAATTGCTGGGTTTTGTCCCCATCTTCCCCTTTGCAGCAGCCCCTGTCTGCGGATGGGGTACCAGTGCTGCTCGGAGGAAATAAAGGCAAGAGAGCTCAGGTTTGCAAGAGGCTCCCAGCCTGTGGCATCTTCCTCTTCCCGTCGAAGCAAGGCTGAGCTGCAGACTGACCCTACGGATCTGCTGTCTCCGGCCCCACAGTTTCCAGACTAATTAATATGGACTGAGAATAAGTGTATCATTATGCTGAAGCGCTCTTCTCTTAAAGATAATACGCTGAAAAACCCCAAACCAAAACCAAACCTCAAGACCCCCACCAACCGAAAAAAAGAGGGTGGAAGAAATTCAGAGTCTTTAAAAAACCCAAACCCAAACAAACTAAATCAAAACTTCGGAATTCTTCTCTGTTTGACCTCATTTATTTGGGTTTACAGTGATGAGAAAGGGGTGATTTTAGTTTCTTCGCCCCTCTCCCCCCTCTTTTTTTTTTTTTTTTTTTTTCCCCTCAAGTGGTGCTTGTTGGACTGGATCTGAGACGGGGAGGGCGCCGAGCAGGGCTCGGTGGCAGTCGGGAGGCAGTCGATTCCAACAATCTTTTGCTGAAGGTATAGACCCTGAAGAGACCCTCAAAGGCAAAAAAAGGCTGCAGATGGGATCCGGCGGAGATCCGTGGCCACATTCTTTTCGATCCATACCATTCCTTTACCCGTTTTCCCATGCATGGCAGTGGCATTGCAGCCGTGGTTCCTCCTCCCTCGGCCGCTGCCTCTCTGGGGTCCGGGCAGACACGGTCCCGTCTCCTTCCCTTTCTCCTCGACGGGGGAAAAACCAGCGTCCGACGACTTCCCAACGCTGCAGACTCCGGGACCGCCTCTCCATGGCAAGTGAGGAAGGGCTGCGCACAGAGGCGAGGACACCGGCAGCAAGACACACGCAACAGGGCAGGATCCTTCCACGCGACTTCGCTCCCGACTTTCCCACGGAGAACGAAGATTTCGTTTTCCACCCGCAGCGGCCACCGAGTGATGCCCGTCCAAAGCCCTCTCGGGAGGCTGGTCGCGGCCATCGTGTCCTCCTCGGTGACCCGCTGCCCCCCCTGTGCCCCGACAGACGCGGCACTCAGTGAAACACCTCTATTACCGTCGTTGCCCACGGGATTCCCCGAAACATGAGGAGCTGGCCCTAGGCCTGGAGCAGGTTCTCATTTCCATGTGGCACTTGGCCTTACCTTTGGCGTTTCGGTGCATTAAACTGAGGGGTGAGAATCAGCTGGGGACGATCAGGGTGGGCAAGAGCTCAGGGGGAAATTCATGGGCTTATTGTTGTATTGTGGTGACTGGGAGAAATGAGAGAGGGAAAGATGGATACATATAGAGACCGGAAAGGAGAAGAGAGAAGGGAGAGAGGAGGGAGAAAGGGAAGGAAAATGTAAGGGAAAGGAAAGGGGAAAGGGAAAGTGTGGGAGAGAGAGCTGGAAAGGAAGGAAGAGAGAGAGAAAGAAAAATACTCCCAGACAGACAGGTGGCCACAGAGGCAGCGTTTCACTATCGGGGCTGGGGAGATGCTCCTCCTTGGGAGGACCCTCCCGGCGAGTAGGGTCAGGAGGGGGAAAGCGGAGCCTAAACCTCTGTGGTGTCGGGCAGTCATCACAGCCCAGCTACCGAGGTCTGTTCCGCTTCAGAGAAGCCGAGATGTTTAGGGGACGGGGCACAAAGGGCATTGTCCTCTGAAAGGGAACGATTACATATGGCCCATACATATCGGATATTGTCTCGCCGCTTAATGAGGGGCTCACGATCATTAGATTGGCCTTTGTTCGGTGCAGCCGACTCCCTGACATACGCTACCTCCTCTGCAAACGCCAACAGATGGGCCCCCCGACAGACGACTCGCGGCTGCAGCTGCTCCCCCCGGCCCTACGGCGCCCCGTTCGCGGGAGCGCAGCCCGGACCGCGCAGCGCCTGCACCGCTCCGCACCCCGGCACGGCATGGGGGGGCGGGACGAGGCTGAGGGGGCGCGGGGATGCGCGGGGATGAGCGGCCACCGCTGACGGCTCCCTCCGCTTGCCTCTGCAGGGGAGGAGCGGTACATCTGCTGGTACTGCTGGAGGACCTTCAAGTACCCCAACAGCCTCAAGGCCCACGTCCACTTCCACTGCGCGCTGAGCCACGGCCGGCCCTTCCTGCACCACGACCACGGCCGGCCCGCCGCCACCACCTTCGGCCTGCCCCCCAAGGAGCCGCCGGCCTCCTCGCTGCGCGGGCACCCTCCGCCCAGCTGCGGCCCTCGGGAGGCCGTCAAGCGGGAGGCCGCCGCCGCCTCCCCGCCGCTCGCCAAACCGGCGCTGTCCAAGCGGGCGGCGGGCAAGGAGGAGCAGGAGCGCGCCCTGGACATGAGTGTGGGGGCCGCCCGCGGGCCGGGGCCGCTTCTGGGACCGGCGGGCGGCAACGGGCTGGCACTGTGCCCCGGGGCGCGCTCGGCCTTCCGCCCCGCCGGGTCGCTGCGGGAGGAGGCGCGGGGCGCCGCCGCCCTCGGCTTCTCCAAACTGCTGGGGGGACTGAAGGCGGGACGCGCCGCCGCCGAGGCACCGCCCAAGTGCGGGGCGCTGCCGGGCGAGGCCGCCCCGCAGGCAGCGGCGGCGGCAGCGGCGGGCCTGGCTTGCGGCGGTGGGCTGCGCGCCTTCCCGCTGCTGTCGCCTCTGGAGGAAGCCTCAGCCTTCCGGCAGGTGGAGCGCAGTCTGCCCGCGGCCGCGCTGCCCCCTGCCCGCTACCCACCGCTGCCCGGCGGAGCGCTGGAGCGCTTCGCGCTGCCGCCCTTCGAGGGGCTGAAAGCGTACGCGGGAGAGTGCGGGCTGCCCGTGATGCCGCTCACCGTCTACAACGGAGAGCTGCTCTACGGTGCCGCGCCCTACTACCCGCTGAAGCTGCACCTGGGCGGCCTCCTCAAGTACCCCGAGTCGGTGTCGTACTTCGCGGGGCCGGCGGCGGGGCTGCACGCTGCCGAGCTGGGTTCGCTGGCCAGCATCGACCGGGAGATCGCCATGCACACGCAGCAGCTCTCTGAGCTGGCGGCCGAGAAAGGCCGCGGGAGGCTGGAGGCGCTGCCGGCGGGGGCGGGGGGTGCGGCCGGAGGGAAGCCCAAGACCGGGCACCTGTGCCTCTACTGCGGGAAGCTGTACTCTCGCAAGTACGGGCTGAAGATCCACATGCGGACTCACACCGGCTACAAGCCACTCAAGTGCAAGGTCTGCCTGCGGCCCTTCGGGGACCCCAGCAACCTCAACAAACACATCCGCCTGCACGCCGAGGGCAACACGCCCTACCGCTGCGAGTACTGCGGAAAGGTGCTGGTGCGACGCCGCGACCTGGAGCGGCACGTCAAGTCCCGGCACCCGGGGCAGAGCCTCGGCAAGGCGGCCGAGGACAAGAGTGACTCTGGCTACGCGCAACCCGAGCAGGAGCAAAAGACTGACAACGAGAGCGACGTGGACGTCTGCTTCACCGACGACCAGAGCGACCCGGAGAGCGGCAGCCGGCACCGCGAGCAGTGATGAGAGAGGCGGCCGGGGCGGGGCAGGGGCCAGAGGAGCGCTGCAGCCACCCCCTCCGTCTTACTCTGGGCTCCCGGCCTCCTGGGGCGGTCCCACGGGAGGCCGCGTCGCGGGGGAGCGCGGGCTGTCGGGCAGTCGCCGTCGGCGGGCCGTACTGGGGTGCGCGGGCGTCCCCGGGCTCCTTCCGCAGCGTCGCCCCTGGCGCTGCAGCCGCGGTGTCGGGACAGGGGCGGGAGGGCGAAGCCCTGGCGGGCCCAGGATCCCGCTGGGCAGGCACTGCATCCCCATAGGCGCCCGCATTTCCGTGGCCATATATTTTTATTGTATCTTTGTGTTGAGAAAATTGTGCCTTTTGGAAACGATTTTTTTCTATGCGCTCTCCCGTCACTCGTTCCCAGCAGCCTGAGCCTTGGGCTCAGCAGCAGACCCGGGTCTGCAAGCGTCACCTGTACACTTTATTTGACACCTCAGATGTGCTTGCTCAGGTCATAATAAAGCAATACCAACAGCTTTTTAGAAAGACAGATAAAAACAGGCAACAAAAAGCCACGCTTGCAGCACTAAAGAGGTTCTCGTAACAGGTGCACAATTTGATCAAGTTGCAATTATTTATAACAGATAATATTTGAGTAACAAATGTAAAATAAATATTGAAAAGCATGAATCTAAGAGCACGCACTATATACTTTTAAAGGAAATACACTCTCTGTTTGGTAGAATACAAATGTGGTGTATGTTTGTTTTCTAATGAACGATGTACAGTGGATACAGTATTTTGGTCTTGGTTCCAGTTTGTCATGCGATTTTTTTAAAAAAAGAAATAAAGTTACTGACAAACTACTGTTTGTCTAGTTGTTCACTGATATCGTGTCAGCAGGATCTCGTGTTTCTCCACAATGCTTCTGACGATTGGAAGCTCAGCACAGATCCATTTGTATACAGTGTCTTTGGATCAAGCTCTAAAGAATTTGCCCCTGAATATTTCGTCTGAGCATTTTCCTCCTCACTCGCAAACCATCAAAACTCTCTAATTCAATCCATTCTTCCCTATACCTACGATTTTTGAAAATCAATATTTTTGTTGGTTTGTTTTGCACAGGGCCAGCGCAGAGATGGTAAAGGCTAAACATTATTAGCCGGCTTAATCTGTTTGCATTTGGTCAAACGTGCCCCTTTTGCAAACACTCTTCCTTGGGATCGTTGTTACTTTCATTTGAGGGAAAAATCTTCCCATACTGTTGGTATGAGAAACTTGAAAATAGTGCAACTTTAAAAAAAGACTGTCAGAAAATCTATTTCCCCTGGAAGCTCCTTCAGCTCACCAGGCAAAAACTGCCGACAGCGACCTGCCAGCTGTGACCCGCCAGCTGTGCAGGTCTGCCTGCTCAGGTCCGATCTGGGGCTTTTCGTGGGAGCGTGCCCTCGGGCAGGCAGAGAGGCAGCAAGGAACCCCGTTTTTTGGTTTTGCGTAGCTCACAACTCTGAAGCAGATGGCAATCTCTTCGATTGTTGTCTATACTTAGAAGACTGTGAGGTTTCAGGATCGAGCCCTATCTCAGTCGAGGGTGTAGGTGACGCAATGCGAAATACAAATTACTTTCAGTATCTGAAATAATTTCAGATTCAAAGCTGATCCTCCGTTTACTCACTTAAGGCTAAACGTGCTTGACAGCAATAGGAGGAGGGAATTCAAACGTCAGGCTTGAATCAATAGCTGTAGTTTCTTTTTTTTTTCTTTTCTTTTTTTTTTTTTTTTTTCCCCTCCCATGTCGGGGCTAGTGCACTAAGTGCCCACTTACTCGATTCATTTTATCCCAGGACGCAAGTTTCTGTCATGAAAATAAATGGGAAAGGTCTCTCCTCCGGAGGGCGGGATCTTGTTCATCTGTCGGTGGAGTCGAAAATCCTGTTGTCATTTATAGCATGGTCAGCGGGACCAGGAATATTTCTGGCCAGTTCTTTATTTCAATATTTATCCACTGCCTTCCCCAAGGAAGGCACCCACCATGGAGCTGCAGCCGAGGAGAGACGCATCATGTCTGCTATGAGGTCATGGAAAGATAGAGCAGTAAAACTGATCCGGAAATTATTTCCATGTCTGTAGAGTTTGTGAGTTTTAATAGAAATGTCCCCCCAAAAAAGCTACTCCTTTCATAATTTCTATGAATTGATGGTTTGTAAATATAATAATCCGGTTTTGAGTTAAGGAAAAAAACCGGCAACACAGAAACCCAACTAAATATAACGAACCGCAAACGACCAAAGTCCAGAAAAAAAAAAAAAAAAAGGAACAAAATACGGTTTGTCTGGTATTTTGTTTGGTTTTTTTTGTTTGTTTGTTTTTTAAATTGCTATGCAGCGGCTAAATCGAAATACAAAATACAGGGGGAGACACACGGAGAAATTCTGCCACGCTTTTAGGGCCCCGTTCCTGTGACGTCCCTAGCGGGTACGCGCCCTCTAGCACGGAGCCCATCGGTCCATGCGCGGAGGTAGAGGGAGAGCCCCGGTGACCCATCCGGGAAGCACCAGCCCGCAGAGCTCCCCCGCCCCCTCGAGCGGCTCTGCCGAGGCCAGTGGAGCCGGGATGGCGGGATAGGGGGCGGTTCCTACGCGGTGCGCTCCGACAGCCCACTCGTTGAGGAGAGCTGGCTGGTTATCGTTATTTTCAATTTTCTCGTGTTTTAAAATTTATTTTATTTTATTACATTTTGGGATATTTTATTCAATTTCGATTTGTATTATTGCCCCTGCCAGGCCAGGGATGAGGCGTCAACATTCTTCCGAGACCTCAGTGATTCGGGCGGCATCGGAAGCCCGCGCTGCAGCCCCAGGGCCAGGGAAAGAAGCATCCCGGGGGCAAAGCGGGCGCGGATCAGCAGCCGCAGCCCCTGGGCTCCGGCGGGACCCTCGCCAGGAGCGGGACAGAGCCCAGACTCCGCGGGCTCAGGGCTCCGTATCCCGATCCGCTCCCGGGGGCGGGCAGAGGGTCCCGGGAACCGCCTCCCCCCCCCCTCCGCGCCCACCCTCCGCGCGCTCCCCGCGCCGCCGCTGCGGACGCTGATTGGCTGAGCCCTACGGCGGCCGCGCCCCTATTGGCCGGTCCGCCCTGCGCGGCCCCGCCCCGCGGTGGTGCCCGCGTCGCGTGGGGCGGGGGCGGCGATGGCACCGGCAGGGAGGGATCGGGAATGCCGTCCCGTGGGATCGCTGTGCCTGTGGCCTGTGGGCTTGTCGCTCGTGGGCACCGAGTTGCAGTGCCAATCACGGCGGCTCCCGCGTCCCTCAGTTTTCCGGGGTGGCGGGGGCAAATTTTGGTCTTGAAAGAGGTGGGAAAGCTGCAGGTCTCAGTCTAGGTGGGGAGCTGGTGTCAGACCCAGCCTGGGCGTAGTTGCGCTGGATTTTGCTGTGATCTGAATTTTACTCTGGATTTTGCTGTGATCTGGTTTTGGAGTCTCTAGGTCTACCACTGCAGCTGCCTGGCTGCCACAGTGACTACTGTTTGTACATACAGAAAAACAAAACCAGACCAACAGGTTTTAGCTTCTGAATTTGCAATTATTGGTAGCTGCAGTAAAGCAGGTATGTCCTCTGCATTTCATAAAAAGGAGAAAACAATTAACCGCATTTGCAGGAAAAAATGTGGAAAGCATAGGCACAAAGATTGGTGCAGAAGCTGAAGAAAAATTAACTCCTTTAAAATACTACTCATTGAGAGGCTTGTTTGCTCAAGAGCCATAGAGATTAAATGACAAGATTTCTCTATTTTATTTTCTATGGGAGAACTCAGGTTTTTTTGAGTGAAGATGAACAGGGAATAATGAAAAGACTGCATTTTGCAAGTGAAGAATGGAACATCATTTGCTCTCTGGAAGTCAAGAGCCAAGAAGAATAAATACACTGAGATGGCTTTTGGACATTATTAAAAACTACTCTAAGCATTTTGGAAACTGGTCTTTCAGTTTCCAAAAATTCACACTCAGCCTCAGCCATTCTTATAAAAGCAATTGATTTCAGTAACATCCCATTTCTTAAATTTGAGAAACAGTTTTGATGATTTTGACTTACACTAACCTGTTCATAGAAATAGCATCAAAGAGTCTTGGCACATCTGGCAGTAGATGCAAAGCGTTGCCAAGAAGCAGACTGCAAGGATCTTGAGGGTAATTTTGGTTTTCAACGAAACTCGGTTTTGGCACAAAACTCTGCCGTGCATCTTACTAGTTAATGCTGTAATTACTATTGTGTCTACTGCCTGAGGATGCACATGGGAGATGAATGGCACTGTAAATGACCAAGCTGTAGGGCAGGGTCTTATAGACCAGGGATCTAGGTTTTACTCCTCTGAACTTGCTGTATGGGTTTAAACACAGTCTTGGGTTTACAGCTTGAAACAACCCATACAATTACCTGTTTTTGCAAAGGTGTTGAACACCTGCTCTCCCCAGTGAAGCTAGTGGGACTGATGTAAAATCTGCCAGGTGCTTTGACTTATAAGTGAGATAGATATGGTTTGCTGTAAGTCAGGTGAGTTTAGATTTTGAACTGGGTGATAGTGCAATACTCAGAGAGGACTTCATCACTTGATGCAGTGAAATGGCTCTATATACTTAGAGGAACATAGTTTCAAAGCTTTTGCATTAAACTCATATTTTAAATGCACAGACAGATGTGATCTGATCAGAAAGCTCTGCTACAGGTATGAAAACGTTTTTTCTTAAGAGTCCCTTTCTACAACCGCAAATCTGGCAAAGAAATGATTTATTAATTCAGAATGAATTTGTTTGGTTGTGTTCATACTGAAAATATTTTCAGGGAAATGTTTTCCTTTTTTCACTAGAAATTATGTGCTTGGAAGTACATTTTGAAATAGTCACTGAATTTGTAAGCTGTACTTTCAATAAAAAAAAAGAATCCTCACACCCGTACTTAATTAAGTGAGCAGGAAGCCTTGGATTCATACTTCCTTTGTGACAGGGAGACATCAGGATGGGAGAAAATCT